ATGTTGAACATCATGAGGGTAGTGAGGATTAGGAAGATGATGAGGATTATGAAGACTGTGAGGATTATGAAGATGATGATCATGATCAGGTTTATGATGATAATGAGGATGATGAGGCTGGTAAGGAGGATGAGGGTGGTGGTGATGTGGATGATGATTATGAGGATGCTCTCATCTTACAAAATGCACTGTGAACAGAAACACCAGAGAGCAATATTAACTCCAAACTCACGTCTGAAAACTGTCAGGATCAATCAGTGGCCCTGCTCTAATTAAAACACACAGTCTGATAGAACTCATGTTATTGAGGATAAACAGAACTAAGTTATTTATTTATTAACTGTAATCAATTTATTTATGTCAGTAATGCCACATAGATTGTTTTTAAAGTCATGTTAGGAAAGGATGTCTCAGTGAAATGGCCATCCATTAAAGTTCAACAGGAATATTTTACTAACAGTCTCATCCAATCAGCAGCTGTCTGAACGTTAAAGTGATCGTCCAGCTTAAATTATGGATCTGATGTTAAGATTAACACACAGTTTGTTTACGGCCGTCTAAACTGCAACTTCTTGAGGTGAAAAATGGAAAATGTTGGTCTGTGAAAATGGTGTAAATAAAAATCTGGTCAAATCAAAAGATTTTACTTAATCCTAAAATCCTTTTTGATCTATTTATGATGTTAAATGATGAAATAAAAACAATTTCTCAAAATTAATGTTGTTGTTTATGTATGAAAATAAAAACACCAACATTTGATCAGCTCTAAATAAAGAGAACCGAGTGACCGCTGCACGTTTTTGATCAGGAAGTCCAGTCCTGGTCCTGGAGGGCCACTGTCCTGCATATCTTAGGGTCCAGTCCTGGTCCTGGAGGGCCACTATCCTGCATGTCTTAGGGCCCAGTCCTGGTCCTGGAGGGCCACTGTTCTGCATATCTTAGGGTCCAGTCCTGGTCCTGGAGGGCCACTGTCCTGCAAGTTTTAGAGCTTTCTCTGCTCCAACCTACCTGTTCTGAATCAATGGGTGAATAACAAGACAATATGATAACAGGCTTCTGATTCAACCTCAGAATCAGGTGTGATGGAGCAGGGAAACATCTAAGACATGCAGGACAGTGGCCCTCCAGGACCAGGACTGGACACCTCTGATCTAAGACATGCAGGA